AATAAAAAATATTTAAAGGTGTTAATTCCTGATGATAGTTATATGGTACGCCTCGCCGCACCGCAGCGATAAAGCATCACGTGCCTAAACCCTCAGCACCCTTGAAATTTGTCGGCTTATTAACCCTTTTGTGTTTACGAGCGCCGGCCAAATAACCTCATGCCCCTTGGGCACATCTCGGATAGATCAGCCAGTCAACCGAGTGAACAACAAGATTTTTTTATCCACAACGAGGAAGCTAGGGGAGGCCTATGTTCAGCAGTGGACGTCCTATGGCTGAAATGATGATGATGATGAGGAAGCTAGACAGACATGTTTGTATAAGACGTTGTCTATTGTCAATAGACCGAGTTTCTGGCGCTGCTTCTTTTTTTTTTTTTTTAATTTTTTTTTATCCATAACGAGGAAGCTCTTGGCCTGTATCTCACCTGATGGTAAGTGACGATCAGGCCGAAGGTGGAAGCGAGCTTCACCCGGAATCCTCAACCACGGAGGAACTGGCTATCTTACCTCTAACTGTCGGAACACAACAATGCTGTTAACATTGTTGTTATGGCGACAGACTTAAGTAAGATGGTGGTAGCTAGCCAGGCGGACTTAGAACAAGCCCTACCACCAACCAAACCGAACAGAAAAATCTGCCCCCACTGGGAATCGAACCCGGGACCTCTGCGTCTGAAGCAGGTGGTCTAACCACTAGACCACAGAGGCGGTTAATTCTTCTCAGCACTGGCTCATTTGTTGTCCCGATGCAGTTGGTAGGATTAAAGCAAGAACTGAGACGGATACAAGAGCTTTCTATAAGCATAGAAATATAACGTTTTGAATCTGTTTTAGATTAATAATTATGGTAGATAGATACTATTTATTAATAAATATGATAAGATAATGCAATGAGAAATAAATCAAAGATCAGCTTAAAAAAATTAAACTGATTAAATCTAAAAGTATAAACTGCCGGAAAGACATTATTAAAATTTGTACATAGGGCTGAATTTTTTTTATCAAGACTCAATCGTTTCTCTAATTTCTCTAACACAAAACAATTATGTAATTTGTTATTAACGCATTATGACTATTAACACAATGTGTTAATACTAATAGACATTCTATATCAGACTTCAATTCACGCGGGTAAAGCCGCGGGCAGGTGCTAGTTGTAGTATCTGTAAAATAAAAATCCCACCAAAAACATTCTGTAAAAAACTAGCCAAGTCTCGATGGAGCTGCTTGTTTATCTCTAAAAAGTAATGAAATCTAGACAAAGTCGTGCCAAGTCTATGATGGTTCCTTACTGCGATTTCTTTATTATTATACTTAATGTTGTGTGACTTGGCCGTTGAAGGGTACAAAATCAGGTGCTCCATGACATCATTGCACCAATCTGTCGCCAGAACCGCTACCCATTGACGATGGAAAATTGCCACTTGGAAAACGTTGATTCAATAACCAGTCAATTGTAGGCTTAATAAAGCNATAATAAGTCATTCTTATGCGAGCTTTCAAAGCCAAGATTTTTTTTAACAAAATAATGTTGTCTATTATTATTAATTACTGCATTTTATTGAAAAAGAGGCTGACAAAGGTGACTTATGCCCGTTTTCACCATCAATGCCTAATTTATAAGTGACCCCTATGGTAACAAATAACAGGAATTTTGTTGTCATAGGGGTCACTTAAAAATTAGGGATTGAGACATGAGTTTCTTCCGCCACTTCTTCTCAGCTCCAGCCCATATTGTCCCGAAGTGGTGGTAGGGCAAGAAGCTATATTTGGGACGTGAATAAGTGCCCTATTGGAGGGGCCTATGTGCTGAATAAACTATTTGAATTTGAATTTATTTGAATATTTTCCTGGCTTATTTTCCCATACTGTGGCTTTTATCAGTCGTTTATGTGTAAACGAGGCCTATCTGACGAATTTTAAAACGCATTAAAACGTACGAAAGATTGGTCCTCATTATTTTATATTGTTAGCAAAACGGCAGAAATGAATATAATTTAGAATATCCTTTCATTGTTGGATATTAAAATATTTAGGATTGTACTGTTATTGTTCAAATCAGTAGGCAAGGAATACAGTTTCCCCATAGGAAAATCGTGTTTTAGGTATGTACTTGAATTATTTTCAGCATGATTAATCGCTCGTTTAACATTTTAGTTTGTTTATACCTAAACACTTTTGTGAAGTAAACCAACATTTGTGAAACCTACATGCTTAAGTTTTAGTCAACGGGACTTGCTTACCTAATTCCGAAATCAATTTTTCTGTAAATATTGTACCTACCTTTATCATAAATCTGCGCCTTAACCTCTAAAACTCAAATCGAATTTTAATATTTGAAAAGATTAAGCTACTTACGAGTATTTGTCGTGAAAATGAAACTCGGTGTCTTTATGGAAAATGGGTATAACTTGGAAAGTCTATTTACCTATCTAGCTAGTTTCGTTTTGATAAGAATTCAAGTGAGTCCGATTGGTTGGAGAAAGATAGATACAAATAATTTCCGTGTATTTCTCCTTTTTTTTTTAAACTAAATCAAAATGTTTTTTGTGACTTTTCCAACGTCTCCATTCCTTCTCAAATTGAGATGAAAAGCAAATAAAACCTCTCATCATCACAGAATAACCTCGAATATCGACTCAAGTAATAATAAATCAGTATACAATCGTTCCTTAACGCTAAATAAATTCCGACCTGCCGACTTTTACGACTAAATCCGAGTAACCAAAAGGCATTCCGATACTCTTCCGATTCTTTGTTTCGGGGATCGAAAATGGGGGGGAGGGGGGATCAAAATAATGGGATTTCCCCGACAAGATTATGCCTGGATTATTTTATGTCGAGTACCTAGTAAAATTTTTCCAGCGCACCCGGAATTGGGACGTGTTCATCGAGTTTTGAGCTCTGTGCGGTGGAGGTAGAGTCGATTTTTGGCTGTGGGTGTGAGCAGGGGAATTTCATTTTGTCCCGAATAAAAATATCCCATACGACGGCTTTGCTTTATCATTGCGAAGCTCGCGGTGTAATTAGTTTTCGCAAAGCAAGCCCGCGGCCGTATTCTGACGAGCCGTTTTGTATGCTTATTTTAATTAAATATTATACTAACTTACTTTCGTAACTTTTGGTGCATTAAAACAATTTATTATGATTTTCATTTCAATTATTAGAAGAGCAAAACACCCTGAATACTTATTAATTTTAGTTATACCTATTTCATAAAAAAAACTGGAAATGTTACAGTACCATTAATAACCCTTAACATTTTGAAATATTTTTTCACCTGAATATCCAGGAGGTTATCTGTTAATAACTTTGTCAATTTCCTTTTTTTTTTGTATAAAATCAAAAACAAAATATAAAAAAATTCAAAATATTTAAGTAGTCTCAACCTACACACAAAATGTTAAAATGAATATTTTACTTACAAAAAAATATTTATTCAAATTCCATAAAAACGGCTATGTCATAAGTTACGGCTCTAGAATACGGCTATGTAATGGCAGGGCCGGATTAGCGGCGTCCGGGGGGCCGCCGGTGAAAAATTGAACCGTTCATTGTTTTAAATGTCGGTACGTGACCGGCCCGGCTCAATTCGTCGGGCACCGTTAATTGTATCATCCGTCCGTCGGGTCGCTCCTTTATGATGTTCCGTTGATATTGAGAATTATTATTTTAACACTTTGTAATTAACAATGATTGTTTCGTTATGACATTATTATTAATTTGCACCTTGATTAATGTAAGCTTGTATTAATAATAACAAGTAACAATCATAGCCTTTATTAACACATTTGAAAGCTAATTAATCTAAAATTTAAACACTGAATTTGTTAATTAACCAGTCCCTAAAAGATGTCTAAAGAAGATGTTGCTAAGCTTAAATGCCTTAATAAATTGTATTTAATTTTATTTGAGAGTTTTGTGTGATATGCAATAAAATCTCCAATAAACAGTAATTTATTCAGAATAAAAATTGTATCGGTCACAAACGATTCTAGTAATTCTAAATCACGTTAGCGAAATGAGCACTAAGTTAACGTTTAGTCGATCTTAAAGTAATTAATAAACGATATTGACATATTTAGTCGACTGCAACCTTAGCGGTACATTAACTGCTATCACTAAACTTGTTCGCAATCAACTGATTTGTTTGATATGTATCACAAATTGTGCTAAACTGAGATATTTCTCATTCAGTTCAGGACAACATTTTAATGGTAAAATATTTTTTTAGTTTTTCCTGAGTTCTAAGCCAAACAAACTATAAACATTGTGTAAGGAACTTATTGCATTTTATCAATAAATATTTTTAAATAAAATCCATAATATTTTTAGTTTTAATAGATATTATTGTTGCTATTCCAAGGATAAGATTTAAAAAAATATTAAAAAAGGGATAAACAATTTTAATAGGTACTTATTTTCAACAGCATTGTTTTACTAATTATAGAACTGTGTGTGCAATAATCATAACTATTACCTATTTTAAATTTATCAAAATATTAAATTATGTTACAATAATAATTTGTATTAATAAAATATTTAGTTTCCCTAATGGACCAATTTACATCAAATAATTAGGTGTAGAATTTCAGTTTGTCACTTGATAATAATTTTCAATTTTACAAATCAATCTATCAAATAGTCAAACCTTCTAAATATTCAGAACCGAACACAAGCAGCCTCACAAAATGCGAGAAAATGTTTAATGCAAAATACCTACGTCTTCAAAAAATTTATTCACGAACAATGCATTGGTAGCGCAATAAAATCCATCACGGATCATATTATTGTGTTACCTATACAAAGTGATTGTCACTCGGGCACATGGCGGGCGGCCGAGGCGGGGCCTATCGTACCACGCCCACAGAATAACGCCGTTTGCGATAAGGTCGAAATCAGTATGGAGATTCGAGAGATTTTCGGCTTTACGGCACGAACGGCCGGGCTCCGCTCGGAAAGTGAACGGCTGCCTTAATACATACTCGCCGCCCGTGCCGGTCGCACGCTCCGATTCGGACCGTTCCGAATTCAAAATTCAAATTTTCGTGTTCCGTTATGCGGTTTTGAATTTTCGAAAATGGAAATCAGTGCAATGCCGCCGATGCCGCTTGACTTTTCTATGGTGCGTAGTGGAAGCGGCTCGCCGGCGATGCGCGAAGGATCGCCGAGGCCCGTCTCGAATAGCGCCTTCAGAGTTGTCACGCCGAAAGGTAAGTTCTTTTTTTGATTAATTTTGAAAACGCATTTTATTCATAAAATTACCGGCCTGTATTTTCATAAACGGTAGTTTTTCTTTTTTAAAAGAGACCGTTATTGATGTAGATGTGTTTTTGTTTTTTAAACATTGAGAAAAATACGGATTCAAAATTAGAATATCTATCGTAAAAATGAACTAACTGAACCCTTCTTTGTTTTTCTAAGGTAAAGCTTTTAATATATTTTTTTTGTTGGTCAAAGTTGGATGTAAACAAAACCTATCCTAGTTGATATCCTAATGAGACCAATGATATTGCTGGTTTAGTTTTCTTCCAATGAAAAATTGAAGAGTTTAACTAAAAAGACTATTTAAAATTTAAAATGTAATGTAATGAAATACATATCGGTTTTCCTCAGAAAAAATATTCTCAATGTTCTAGTAACTTTGTTGGTAACTTTCTAAATATGTTTTTTTTTTAATCTGTTTCATGCTCCTTATTTATGAGATTTTGAGATTTGCTTTTGCTCTCTATTCCACTAAAGTATCACAAAAAAAGTATAATTTCCAGTTTTACAATAATTTTCTAGTATTCATGCAAAAACAACTGTTTCAGCGTTTACAATATTTTGCGCTTTTTAATAAATTGATTGATATGAACCTTTTTCTTGGCATAATAATCAAATTTGAAAATTATAAGTAACTTGAAAAATAACTATTATTTATAATTTTCAAATAAGTTTGAGAAGCGACTCTTAAAGCTAAAAATTAAATAACTTTATAATAATCAAAAAAGTTAAATCTTATTCATTGTTCTACTAATCTAGCCGCACCAATATATTATTATGCCAATATAGAAAGGTTGTGTTTGATATTTTTGAATTCTTAAAATTCTAACAATTTCAATGCTTTTAATGTAATGAAGTCACTGAATAATAATTTCTTGAAATGAATTCCACCACACTTTACCGAAATGATATTAATTACACAATATTTTATTACTAAAAAAATACTAATAAAACCTTTTGTAGGTGTTTCTTGTATTGAAAGTAGAAAAAAACACTTACTTATAATAATAAATACTTGGGGGAGGACTTTGTCCAGCTGTGGACGTCTTTCGGCTGAAACGAACGAAAGAACGAACGAATAAATACTTAAAACTCATTATTATTGAAAAAGTCATAGACAAAAGAAAAAAGAAAAAACTACCCAATTTTCCGCTAAGATCGTTACTTACAAGTCGTTTTTTTCATTCAAATTACGTAGAGTCGGTTCTCCTTGCCTCTATCATCGAACGTACAGCTCTTCAAGATAAGCAGTAACACCTTATAATGTTCAGTACTTCAGAATAAGTGCGAATTTGCAACGAAATGTAGAGACGTGCTCGTAGACTGTACCACGTATCGGAATTTACAAAGCGGACCAAAATGCGGATGAAAAATTAATTTTCAATTGCACCCCACTGATGAGAGACGCTTTTTTTCGTCAGAGTCCTTTGACTCTTCATAGCGGACTAAAAAACGGTAATCCACCCTAATGGTAGAGAGAGACAGACTATTTGAGTCTTCTTCTCATTGCGAATGGGTATTGATGGAATTTTTGAGAAAAAATAAGAGCCAATGCAGACTGAGGACTTTTTTCGGATAGTTTGATGGGCATCTTAATTATAATTTGTATGAGGAATCGGCCAATAATAAATCGGTGTAATTTGCGCACTTTCATGTTCCTACTGATTAATTAACAGCCCGACTAAACTATCGGCCGACAAAAAAATCTGTAGTCTACGAAGACTCTAACGCCCGTATTGACAAACATTACTATGAGGTCTCACAGGGCGCGTGGACGCACAGGGATACTAGACATACGAACCAATCACAGAGCTCTATTCAACGCTTTGCGTTTGATTTGCTGCTTCACTTAAGCTAGCATCGTTTGTGAATACGGGCATACCTACTTAGTGTGAGCTGTAGTGTAATCTATGGGTTTTACTGGTTTGAAACTAACTACATCTTTGTTTAAAATAGCATGAATATAAAAAAAGAGTTCTGTTTAGCTTTGACATATTGTCGTCCGTTTAACACCTTCAATTTTTTTAAAACAAAAAGTAACAATAAAATTTGAGTCATCAAAAACAAAAGCACAGAAAGAAATTAAAAAGTAAGCGCAGTTAAGCCCTAAAACGCGCAATCAAAGAAAGATTCCCCCAAAACAGAAACTCAAATTAACCCTCAACACAAAAAGGGCAAAAAGTGGCAAGCGACAATAACAGAATAACACTAACACGCTACAGGCCGGTCCCTCCGACCCTGCACGGTACCCTCTTGAAATTTCAAGTGTTAAGGGTGTTAATTCTTGAAACGACACGGGGTCTGTACTGCCGACGGCTTTTTAGGGTTTGGTGGAAGATATTTCGTATGTCAGGGTATTAGAGTTGTGATTTTCTTATTTTGAACTGTTTCGTTTCTCATTCAGAGAATACATCGGATGAAAAAAAAATTGCGGACACAAATAATTGTAAAAAACTCTTCCGTCGTAGATGCTAAAGTTAAAAAATCTGTGTGGCTAAATGATAAAAAAGATATCTTCTATTAGTTGATACTTATAAACTACGAATTTGCGAAGTATTATTAATGTAAAAATATAATATAACAATGTATCTATTTCACGAAGTTATTTGTAACGTTTTAGAAATTTTCTCACTTGAAAGTTAGCGCACTGAAAAATATCTGTACTTCTAATTCAACTTTTAGGCTGACTTTCACTATCTTACTTTGACTTTAACAAACGTCAAAAATCTGTCAAACTCCATAAATAATACCAGTGTATCAAAATTGATGACAGAGAGTAACCTAGGTAATACATTAATAAAAAAATCTTTCGTATGAATCAACATTTTAAAATGATCTATTTTAATAATTTATTTCTCAAAAATAGTTCAGCTATCTTTTTAGTGTTACATAATAATCTTACAATCTTTAGACTTCAAGGCGATATTTAGAATCAATACTAAAATTACCTTAATTTAACGTGAGGGTATTCTAGGTTAATTGGAGGCAGTAAAATAATAATTACTTTCACATCTTCAGTTCTTCGAAATAAAAACAAACGAATCGAAGTAACTTAATCCGCCAGACACAATCTTTCATCACCAGATAGAAAACTATTCTTATAAGAGCACACATTATTATAACATTAAATGTAACTAAGCAAAAGTAGCGGTTTTTGATTGCTATTTGAAAGTTACATTACTGAAAAATTTGGATTTTCACAAACTCTATATTTGAAGCAGGTACCAGAATTTGTTTCAGATAAGTTTCCTTAAATACATAATTAGTTAGCCTATTATTTAAATCGCATTTTTTTATAATTTTACCTTTTTGTAACTCTGTAAGAAATCTTTGTAAGAAAAATACGAAATTTGATTTCGATACATCTAATTACAGAAAAAAAGTACTTACAATAATATGTAAAAACAAGAGCTGTAGTAAAAATCATTAAGTAGGTCTATACCTGTACTTAAACGTCTTCAGTTCTTCGAAATAAAAACAAACGAATCGAAGTAGGTAACTTAATCCGCCAGACAAAATCTTATAACCACCAGATAGAAAACAATTAATATAAGAGCTCACATAATCCTAATAATTTCCGAACGGGACATCTGATCCCGCCGTAATCGGATTTGCCTGATCGAACGTGGACGTTATCGAGTTTGCCATTATTTTCGTACTCTCTACAACGGGGACATTGATTTTTATACGATTTCGCCTAGTTTTCCCGAGAATCTTATTCTGTTTCGGCTATTGTACATTATTTATTAAAGATAACGAGTTTGGCCTGTGTTTAAGCTTAGGATATTATTTATTACTAGCTTTCCGAACGCGGCTTCGCACGCGTGCAATTTTGTCTGTCACAGAAAAATTTTATCGCGCGCGTCCCTGTTTCAAAAACCGGGATAAAAACTATACTATGTCCTTTCCCGGGATTCAAACTATCTCTATGCCAAATTTCATCAAAATCGGTTCAGTGGTTTAGGCGTGAACGGGAGACAGACAGACAGACAGAGTATAGTTACTTTCGCATTTATAATAATATTAGTATAGATTGAAGTTAGCTTTCGGAAAGCAGGGGCTTATTACAAAAATTAACCGCCCGTTGAACGCTTATTGACGACATCATAAAGGTAGCAGGAAGGCGCTGGACGCAGGCCGTTACCAATACATCAACATGGAAATCATTGGGGGAGGCCTATGTTCAGCAGTGGACGTCCTATGGCTGAAATGATGATGATGATGATGAACACATATTGAAATTGTCATTTAAATTCGTGAAATTCTATTTCGGTAGTTGAAAATAATTTGTAGTCATATTTCAAGAGCTCATTAAAATATACGTTAATTTAGTGATGAAAAATATACCCTGAAAATCTGCCTTCAGTTTGTGTTCTCAAAAAAAGGTTTCATGCCGTAGGTACGCGTGGTATGCTCTGTTATTATGAAATTTATATCTAAGCTCTATTATTAGAAACTAAGTACCGAGTAGAATAATTAGCTGCTACTACTACTACTCTTTTTCATAACTCTCCAAATAATACTTTTATAAACCGTAATAATTTGTATTAGGTACTCTCATCAAAATTGGAGTCTGTCTGTCATAAGTCTGTGTTATAATACAAAACTAGATTCAATCTCAAGTATAGATTAAGGTCTGGTTGACTGAATTTCAATATTTAGATTAGACCAACAACAGGAGTAGGTAGTTACAACTATAGTAGGTTATGGTACGGTAGGGCAGAATTCGAACCTGCCCCCCTAAATAATAATAAGATACATTCTTGTCATTTGTGTTTGATTTTGAAATCACTTACCTATTCTATCATGGAACTTACGTATAAAAACGCTGAAGTAAAACAAGTTTGGTATTATTTTCTTGGTGAATTTTGTTTACAAGCTACATAATTAACGACGTCTAGAAACGATCAACTAACTGGCAGGAAATATATTCTCCCGAATCAAGCTT